AAAAAAAAAAAAAAGGAGAGGGGAATCCCCCCAGAGACATGCTCTGTGCATCTGTGCAATGTGTTTTGTAGTCCTGACTGTAAGGCTATAAGAAAGAAATGTTTTTCATATTAGCCATTTCAGTACTAGGCTCTCACTTCTTTCCTGCCCAGGCCAATATTCAGCTTTCAATGCTGTCGGATGTTGAATGACAATTGTGCAGTCATACAACACTCTACCCATATGACATTTTTATAATTTTTTTAGACAGATAAATCTTTCTTCTGGTGGTATTTAATCACCACTGGATTTTTTATTTCTTGCTAAACAAACAGAAATAACAGTTTTTCTTAGTTTCTGTTATAAAATGTTGCAAAAAAGTAATTTTTCTTCTTCACTGATGTGTGCTGATGAGGCTGCACTGATGGGCACTGATAGGCTGCACTGATGGGCATTGATGAGCACTGGTGAGGCGGGAAATGATGGACACTGATGAGGCAGTACTGACTGGCATTGATATGCTGCACTGACAAGGATGCACTGATGAGTCAGTACTGATTGGCATTGATATGCTGCACTGACGAGGATGCACTGATGAGCACTGATGAGTCTGCATTAATGACCATTGGTGAGGCGGCACTGATAAGCTGTACTGATGGACACTGATGAGGCAGTACTGATTGCATTGATATACTGTACTGACGAGGATGCACTGATGAGCACTGATGAGTCGGTACTGATTGGCATTGATATGCTGCACTGACGAGGATGCACTGATGAGCACTGATGAGTCGGTACTGATTGGCATTGATATGCTGCACTGACGAGGATGCACTGATGAGCACTGATGAGTCGGCATTGATGACCATTGGTGAGGTGGCACTGATAAGCTGTACTGATGGACACTGATGAGGCAGTACTGATTGGCATTGATATGCTGCACTGACGAGGATGCACTGATGAGCACTGATGAGTCGTACTGATTGGCATTGATATGCTGCACTGACGAGGATGCACTGATGAGCACTGATGAGTCGGCATTGATGACCATTGGTGAGGCGGCACTGATAAGCTGTACTGATGGACACTGATGAGGCGGTACTGATGGGCACTGATATGCTGCACTGATTGGCACTGGTGGGGCTGCACTGATAATCAGTAAACCATGTACGAACAGCTTTGCTGGTCACCGGCTTTCCTTTTCTCACACAGACACAGTGAGTGAGGAAAGAACTGCCAATAACTGGCAAATCTATTTACATGTGATCATCTGTAATTGGACACACCTGATCACATGGTAAAGGGCCGCTGTGATTGGCCCTTTACTGTGATCAGCAGTTACAAAGTGTGCCCAATGCGCACCCTGGGGTCACGCAGTGGGCGGGGTTCTGGGAGGACATCCATGGATGCTCTCCCAGAACTGGACAACTGCACTGTAGCTGCCTTTCGGCTCTAACTCGGTCGGCAAACGGTTAAGGAGCAACAATAATATATGTAAATATAAATAAATTGCAATCAATTCAACAGTAATGCATTTTTAATTGAAAAATAAATAAATTATGCAGAGTAATCAAAATACCACACACTACACATGTGCAAACTATGCCTGGGGAGCCATTCCACTTGGCACGGCTGGACATGTGCTGGCCTAGGAGGACAGATTAATCAACTGAAAAGTAGTCTGCTCTTTTCAAATCTGGGCTAGTGGATTGGGTAATCCCCTTGATGCCAAGGACTTATACTTTACATCATGGAATTTAAACGGTTAAAATAGCAGCTATAAACTTATTTTACTGTTTCGGGAGTTTCAGGGTGGAGGGAGGTAGGAGATCAGTGAATAAGCCCTAGGCTGAATGAGTTGTCAGTGGCCAGATAAGCAGTAGATCAGGGACACCCCTAATGTCTCCATAAAGGGTAACTGTCATTGTAAAATCCTGCTCTCTACCTCCCTTGTCACCTCCTCACAGCCAGGACTTCCCCTGAGCCTCTCCCAACCTATGGAACTCCTTACCCCAATCTGTCCGATCTATCTCCTACTCCATGTTTAGGAGATTCCTGAAAACCCTTCTCTCCAGAGAAGCCTATCTGGCCTCCACCTAACTATATTTTCACTAACTCCATCATATATATATATATATATATATATATATATATATATATATATATATATACAGTGGGGATCGAAAGTTTGGGCACCCCAGCTAAAAATTTGTATTAATGTGCATAAAGAAGCCAAGGAAAGATGGAAAAATCTCCAAAAGGCATCAAATTACAGATTAGACATTCTTATAGTATGTCAACAAAAGTTAGATTTTATTTCCATCATTTACACTTTCAAAATAACAGAAAACAAAAAAATGGCGTCTGCAAAAGTTTGGGCACCCTGCAGAATTTATAGCATGCACTGCCCCCTTTGCCAAGCTGAGACCTGCCAGTGTCATGGATTGTTCTCAATCATCATCTGGGAAGACCAGGTGATGTCAATCTCAAAGGTTTTAAATGCCCAGACTCATCTGACCTTGCCCCAACAATCAGCACCATGGGTTCTTCTAAGCAGTTGTCTAGAAAACTGAAAATAGTTGACGCTCACAAAACTGGAGAAGGCTATAAGAAGATAGCAAAGCGTTTTTCAGATGTTAATATCCTCTGTTCGGAATGTAATTAAGAAATGGCAGTCATCAGGAACAGTGGAAGTTAAAGCAAGATCTGGAAGACCAAGAAAAATATCAGACAGAACAGCTCTCAGGATTGTGAGAAAAACAATTCAAAACCCACGTTTGACTGCACGATCCCTCCAGAAAGATCTGGCAGACACTGGAGTTGTGGTACACTATTCCACTATAAAGAGATACTTGTACAAATATGGTCTTCATGGAAGAGTCATCAGAAGAAAACCTCTTCTACGTCCTCACCACAAAAATCATCGTTTGAACTTTGCAAATGAACATATAGACAAGCCTGATGCATTTTTGGAAACAAGTTCTGTGGACCGATGAGGTTAAAATTGAACTTTTTGGCCGGAATGAGCAAAGGTACGTTTGGAGAAGAAGGGGCACAGAATTTAATGAAAAGAACCTCTGTCCAACTGTTAAGCATGGGGTTGGATCAATCATGCTTTGGGGTTGTGTTGCAGCCAGTGGCACAGGGAACATCTCACGAGTAGAAGGAAAAATGGATTCAATAAAATTTCAGCAAATTTTGGATGGTAACTTGATGCCATCTGTGAAAAAGCTAAAGTTAAAAAGAGAGGATGGCTTCTACAAATAGATAATGATCCTAAACACACCTCAAAATCCACGGGGGATTACATCAAGAGGCGTAAACTGAAGGATTTGCCATGGCCTTCACAATCTCCTGACCTCAACATAATTGAAAATCTATGGATAGACCTTAAAAGAGCAGTGCGTGACAGACAGCCCAGAAATCTCAAAGAACTGGAAGACTTTTGTAAGGAAGAATGGGCAAAGATACCTCAGACAAGAATTGAAAGACTCTTGGCTGGCTACAAAAAGCGTTTACAAGCTGTGATACTTGCCAAAGGGGGCAGTACAAGATATTAACTCTGCAGGGTGCCCAAACTTTTGCAGACGCCATTTTTTTGTTTTTTTCTGTTATTTTGAAAGTGTAAATGATGGAAATAAAATCTAACTTTTGTTGACATATTATAAGAATGTCTAATCTGTAATTTGATGCCTTTTGGAGATTTTTCCATCTTTCCTTGACTTCTTTATGCACATTAATACAAATTTTTAGCTGGGGTGCCCAAACTTTCGATCCCCACTGTATATATACACATATATATATTTATTAAGGTTGAGAAAAGACACACATTTATTGAGTTTAAAACAAAACACAAAGTAAAATTAGGAAGCTTTGCATCTTTAGAACCCTGAACCTTCTTGTTGATCTAGAGCAGTGGTTCTCAACCTGTGGGTCGAACGACCCTTTCACAGGGGTCGCCTAAGACCATCAGAAAACACATATTTCTGATGTGTAAAGAGCAGGTACTGTGTTGAAAGCAGCTACTCTGTTAAAAGCAGCTACTGTGCTGAAAGCAGCTACTGTGTTGAAAGCAGCAGTATTGGAGGTAAAACAACACTTCATGAATTATAATTACTGGGTAAATAATTTTATGGTTGGGGGTCACCACAACATGAGGAACTATATTAAAGGGTCACGGCATTAGGAAGCTTGAGAACCACTGATGTAGAGCAAGGGTAATAAAATTTAAAATTCCTAGAGGTTCAATCAGGAAAAATTTCTTCCAGTCGAGGTCCAAATCCTATGTTTGGGCTTTGACTCAGATCCTTTACATCATAGGTTATATCTAGGGGATCAGGAAGGAATTTTTTTCTTTGCAGGAGCAAATTGGATCATGCTTTGCTGGCTTTTTTTGCCTTCCTCTGGATCAACTTTGGGTGTAGGATTATAACTTTTTTTTTTTAATAGTTGAACTGGAAGGACTTTTGTCTTTTTTCAGGGAGACTAACTATGTAACTATATCCAGGCACAGATTTATCATAAGGCACAGAAGGCACATGACTATGAACGATACAGCCAAAAAGGTTGATTTTCCCCATAAAAATAAAATTTTTTAAATAATGTTTTTTTTTTACACATTATCACTATATTCTAAACCAGGTTTGGAGAAGGAAACATCTGGGTGTAAAGCCACTCTGTCATTTTGCTCCAAAAATAACATTTAAAGAGACCCAGCCTGTAAAAGATAAAGGTTTATACTTACCTTTCCGGAAGGTGGTGAAATAAATTGTTGCTCTCTTGAAGAACTCTGGGTATTCTAACACTTAGGGGTGAGTTTTATGCCTGGTTCCCTACTGTGACACCAGCTCTGCATCACTACAGGACACAGCAGTGATATACTGGCCCATGACCCAACAGGAGACATGCTCAATGATACTCAGTGTTGGATTCTACTCCCTGGAAAGGAGGTAAGTATAAATCTTTTTTTTTTACAGGCAGGGTCTCTTTAAATATTTTAATTCCTTATGAAAGAGGAATTCCTAACAGTTGGGTTCAGTAAAGTCCAGCGCTTGTATGTCCCCGTGTTGTAAAATATTTATATGACTTTTAGAAGCACCTTGATCTTTTAGTCCAAAAATCTGTCCATACTCTCTTCTCAGCTCTCTACTTCCATAATGGTGGACCGTAACAAGATTGTTGAAGAGACAACGATTATAATTTATCCGGTGACCATTGAATATACCTGAAGGGGAAACTGTAGGAGAAATCTTGAGTTCATAAAGGCAAATTCCCATAAAAGAGTCTTCCATGGGTATGACTCGAATCACCTGTGATATAGCATAGATTTTTTTTGCCATGTCTGCAGAAAAGACATAGCCAGGTCCAGCACAATAGGGTGGGTAAGTGTTATTGGGGTAGATTTCCTTAGGGACATACCATTTGTATAGCTCATTCCTCAGTGGTCCTGTATTTCTCACTATGTAACCTGTGAAATAGTTGGTACGGACTGGAAGATCTGGGCGAAGAAGCTGGTGGATTAGGTAGTCTGCATTGAAGAACATGTCATTATCAATTTTCACCACGTAGCTGGCTGTGGGGCAGAATTTAGTAACCCATTCCATGCCCATTAAGGTTTTTAAAGTAAGGTTATAGTAAGTGTCCATGAAGTCTTGTTGGACAATATCTCCGAAGACTTCACTTTCCTCCTCCAGCAACCCTTGGGTTCTATTCACAACGATTTTTGGAAAACCAACCAAAAAGATCCTCACCACATCAACATCGTAATTACTCTCATTGCCCCAGGTTTCTCGAATGGCATGCCTTGTAACGATATCGTGAGACGTACCGATTATCATTATGACCAGAAAGGGGTTCCGGTCTTTGCACTTCTTTTCCTGGTTGATGAGAAACTTGTATGGGTATGGGTAAGGGGGGGCCAGAGGGTGTTGGAAGCCTGGATAAGTCAGATTGTTTACAGGATGTAGGATTTTCTGGTCCCTTAAATGTCCCCGAAACACCATCAATCTTTTTACTAGCCAATTTTCATTTTCAAAGTACAGGTATCCAGATGCAAACATCAATGTCAGCATAAGGGAGACAGAGACCTTCACCACACAGCGTCGTCCCATTGAGCTGGATTCCACCGGAACCTCTACACAAAGATAAGAGAAAAGTAAGTACTTTGTTAGCTAAAAAAAAAAATCTCTTTACACTTTTTGCTATGGCTTTATAAGCAGTTGTAATGTATTTATTATATATTTCTAAACATATGTATTTATTAGACTTTGCGTGTTGGGTGATGGGTCTTTTTAAATTGTTGGCACTCAAGTCACGAGCTCGAGTTCTCTTTTTATGTTTTAATCTGTTTGAGATTTGTTTTTTGTTTTTTACCTAACTTATTAGTAATATATCAATCAATAAGCTCCTATATTATAACCCTTCACACAAAATCACAACTTTCTCCCTAGAAAGTATACAATCTAATAAATCCTTTTTGTGGTACACATAAATCCCCAAAATTGTGTTTACATAAATCCACACTCAATTCTGTCTTAAAAAAATTAAATAAACCCAAAAGAATATCAAAATTATATATATAAAAATTATATATAAAAAAATTATATATAAAAATCGTGTTCAATAAACCCAAAGTGTCCAAGTTCCAAAAAAAAAAAAAACGTTTTTCTTTCAATCCAATAAAGCAGAAATTGGTTCTAAGACTCCATGATCACCTCAAAAAAAATAGAAAAAAGAAAATTCATAGTGTATTACCCTTTTTAAATATGTATATATATACTTCACTCTGTGCACAACACAAAAACAAAAACACACTCAAAATTATTTTGTGCAAAATAAATCCAATATATATCACAATCCAAATAGGTGAATAAAATTAAATAAATTAAATAAAACCCAAAACGTGAAAAAACGTGATCACTCCAATCACAAGTGAATAGTGATACTAGGTACTAGTACCCTCTAAACTCCAGCCAAAAGTGATGCTAGGTACTTTTACCCTCTTGCAGTATTTTCAAGCATGAGCTGACATAGGAGATCCGTATCTCTCAATCCTTAATTTTCATAGGTTTTCCTCCCAACTCCTCATAAAAGCATAAAAAGGCTCTTTAGGCAGAATCCATAAAAATGGACAAAAATTTTAATAGTAACTCACATATAAAACAGGGATATCCAGCTTCACATATTCCTCTTTCAAGTTTCAGGTTGAAAAACACATGTTTCCAACCAACAAAATGGCCGCGGCGACACTTCCGGTTGGCGTGCGTGCGTGATGACGTCACTCCCCTAACACGTTTCGTCACTTCCGGACTTCATTTGAAGGGATCTGATCCCTTCAGATGAAGTCCGGAAGTGACGAAACGTGTTAGGGGAGTGACGTCATCACGCACGCACGCCAACCGGAAGTGTCGCCGCGGCCATTTTGTTGGTTGGAAACATGTGTTTTTTCAACCTGAAACTTGAAAGAGGAATATGTGAAGCTGGATATCCCTGTTTTATATGTGAGTTACTATTAAAATTTGTCCATTTTTATGGATTCTGCCTAAAGAGCCTTTTTATGCTTTTATGAGGAGTTGGGAGGAAAACCTATAAAAATTAAGGATTGAGAGATACGGATCTCCTATGTCAGCTCATGCTTGAAAATACTGCAAGAGGGTAAAAGTACCTAGCATCACTTTTGGCTGGAGTTTAGAGGGTACTAGTACCTAGTATCACTATTCACTTGTGATTGGAGTGATCACGTTTTTTTTTTACGTTTTGGGTTTTATTTAATTTATTTAATTGTATTCACCTATTTGGATTGTGATATATATTGGATTTATTTTGCACAAAATAATTTTGAGTGTGTTTTTTTGTTTTTGTGTTGTGCACAGAGTGAAGTATATATATACATATTTAAAAAGGGTAATACACTATGAATTTTCTTTTTTCTATTTTTTTTGAGGTGATCATGGAGTCTTAGAACCAATTTCTGCTTTATTGGATTGAAAGAAAAACATTTTTTTTTTTTTTTTTTTGGAACTTGGACACTTTGGGTTTATTGAACACGATTTTTATATATAATCTTTTATATATAAATTTTTATATATATAATTTTGATATTCTTTTGGGTTTATTTAATTTTTTTAAGACAGAATTGAGTGTGGATTTATGTAAACACAATTTTGGGGATTTATGTGTACCACAAAAAGGATTTATTAGATTATTAGTAATATAACCCAAAAAGGACCATAGCAATCCAGACAACAATTTACTTTGATCTTCAAATTATATTTGCGTTGGGATTTTTAAAAATGTTTTGATTATTTTAAATCCCCTTTATACATACCTTATTTTTGTAGCCTTCAGACTGTTCATGTCATGTCACAGGTACTCCCCTACCTTGGGGTGCTTATATTGCATTGTGTGCATGCTATTCTGTCCAGGAGTACAGTGAACAAAGGTTGATGTGATGACACAGCCCCCCCCAGGGTGATCACAGCAAGTGGGCTGGATAATGCTAGCTGTCATTGAACCCTGGAAGAAGACTGACCCTAGATTGCACAGAAGTGAATCAGTGGAGGACGTTATGGGACAGGAGGTTGGCGTTACACCACAATCTGTGATTTTTATTTTCACCACCACTGGGCTGATCGCTTTTTTGTAATTCTTTACAAAGGCGGATCCCATGTCTGTGTTGTGCATTTATGGAAAGTGACACATTTGGTGGAACACAGCTCAGCTTAAGGCTCATTTGACAAAAAACTGAATTTGCGCACTGGTGTGTACTGTGCTCTGCAGTGTGTTGTTACAACGCATCACATTGCTTCCTTTTTTTATAAACCTTTTTTTATAGCAGAACTTTACCCATAACAGCTTGATAAAAAAATGTTCTTTGGTAGCGAACATACATTCCACATTAATAATTATGCCACCAAAATTAGTGTGTGCTGTAAAATGCCTCTAGCGTTGTTCCTGTTTCTTCTTGCTGGAGGCCGCCATTTTACTGAAGCCCAGAACCACTGAGCAGCAGTAAATCTTTGGGCTATCAGCAGACCGGTGACAAATCGCTCCGCCGCGTGGCCCCATGGCCACGTGAGTGGCTCCTTTTGACAGGATGTCATATGACACCCAGTCACAACGGCGAGTGTCCCGCCCGGCCGTCAATCTGCTATAGGCCAGGCGGGGAAGGTGATAAAGTGCAACTAAACCAAGGGTGGACTGACAACTCATGGGCCCTCTGGGCAATAGGGAATCATGGGGCCCCTGTGTCCTTGCCCAAACTCAAAAAAGCCTATGAAAAAGGTACCAGGGGCATCTCATGGGCCCCCCTACTGACCCCGGGCCCTCGGGCAGTGCCCGAGTTTCCAAATGCTCAGCCCGCCCCTGAACTAAACTGTATCTGAGCACCACAAACTGAAAACACCATTTAATTCATTTTTAATATTCAAAGCAAACTCACCCATCCATCAATGTCTCCATGCTTTGTTTTGTTAAAAAAAATCACTTTAAAGAACCCCCCCTAGCATTTCTAGCCACGGCCATTTTGAGTAAGGGCAAATGATTCATGCAGTATTTACCTCCATCTGCCCTTGGCTCAGGCCAGCAGGCAGGAGAGTGTGTTTAGCTGAGAAAGCCCCTCCTCCAGATGAAAGAAAAAAAAAAGCCCATGAAGACTCATGGGATGTATGACATCATTTTGGACTAGGCCAGAAAGCAGGAAGCAACTGAAGAAATGTAAAAAAAAAAGTTTAAAACAAGTAAATATAACATACCTTCTTATCTCTTTACTAATGCTAGCAGCATAAAGGTTACAAATAGTTCATGGTGATTCAGAGACTTTAGTTCCGTTTTAACTCAATACAGTTTTATCTTTTAGATTTAGTAGGAATTTATGTTAAGCAGAAATGTATGTTATGTTGTGTTAGTGTGTGCTTATAAGGATTTTGGTGTGTTTCTATAAAAAATATTGTTTTGATAAACATTTGCGCAACTGCTGTGAATGTACAAGATCAACAGCATTTTATTCCACAGGTCCTGTGCTCTCAGAAAATGTATTTTACAAACTTTCCAAGCTGTAAGTAAGAAATAGTAAATATAGAAAACAAAATACACTGCTCAAAAAAATTAAAAGAACACTTTTTAATCAGAGTATAGCATCAAGTCAATTAAACTCCTGGGATATTGATCTGGACAGTTAACCTCCCTGGCGGTATGATTATTTCAGATTTTTGGTGCTGAAAGCGGTACCATTTTTTTGCATGGAAATATGTAGTTTTTTTTTATTGTAGGCTGTAATTTTTAGGAATAACTCACTGAAATCTGTCTGAACAAGAGTCTAGTAAACATCCCGGGTATGATAAAATTTGAAACACGAAATCATAAATTATAATTTAATAAATAATCATAAAAAATAATAATATAATAATAATAAATTTAATTCAATAATATAATCAAACCAAAAACACTGAAATTTGAAATAGAGCGCCAAGTTCACACATTGCTGAGCAAAGTCGCAAAATCGTTTTCAGTGTCTGATGACGAATTTCCCCACGAATCATTATCACTCAATTCTGCAAGTGGTTCTGATTTACTATCGCTGTTCTCCAGCCGGTCTAAAAAAACGCTTTTGACCTAAAGGGACACTTTTTGGACGCCATGGACTTTTCTCAGTTTCCAGGCAGAAAGAACAGACAAAATGCAGGCAGGGCACAGGACACAGCACTCGGGACAAAATGTATGTGAAATGGGTTGAAACAGCAATATTTTGCTATGTAAAATTAAAAAAAAAATGAAATTTTTTAAAATGTTCAAATTTCCTGCCGCCGCCGGCGCGCCGTACGTCCCGACGTCACAGGGA